GTAGCTGCAGGATCAGAGCTATGGTTGTTGTCCCCAGTCTTCATAGATATTCTTGTGGTGTACTATCTTCCGTACTTCTATTAGACATAAAAAAACATAAAGATAAACATAGGATAAGCAATAAGACAAAGATAGATAACATAACCGAAAGGATGTTACTAGAGTAGTAACTTCTACAAGAGCATATAGGTGGAAACTACACACTATAATGAGTCACTGGGATATCAGAAAACATATCCTCTACGTAACACTGGTGGAACAAGACTATCACACTGAGAGCTGACTCCATACAAGTCTTCACAAGGAGGCTGACAACTGCTTTTCGTTTCATTTGGTTAATAGTAAAGGGTATAGGTCAAGCGGAAGGCCTCCGTCAAATGATCAAAAGCTCCAGCTGTGGGTCATCACATGACTTAAGACTCGCATCAAGAAACTCTTGTCCCGTTTCCTGACAAATATTATACTGACCTTTCGAGCCGGTGTTCATGCTTCCCAAACTTAAGTACACATAAGAACCATAAAAAAGAAGGGAGCGACTTATTAATAGCAGGGCCTACTGGCTCATGCTAGGCAGGTTCTGCCTAGCACATACAACACAAAAGTGATAATAGCTTGTGAGTTACTGTCTCATACGAAGGACACGTGTAGATTTAAACGTTTCATGGTAATAATAATAATAATAATAATAATAATAATAATAATCATAATAATAATAATAATAATAATAATAATCTTTATTTCTACAAGTACATGTAAAAGGTATGACGTCCCAAGCTGACATCAATGACAACACTATATAGAAAGCCGGGCTTGTTATGCAGAGCATTTCGAGCAAATTAGGTTGATTTTGTCCCAGTATGCGACCCACACCAGTCGGCTAACACCCAGGTACCTATTATTACTGCTGGGTGAACAGGGATAGCAGGTGTCTTATGGAAACACAAAGAACCCCAGTGGAAATAAGTCACTTTGGCTTTTTTGGGTTCTCCTAGGTTCTCTTCACATATGCTGCTATGTATAATAATCAGTGTAACTGTATTTATGTGCACCTGTAACTCAATAAACTTAACATGTGTACTTCCGTCGACGTTATTGTTGGATTCACTGTTGACGCTACATCCTGTCATGGGGCTTTCTTAATGTCTCACAAAGTAAAAATTCCAAATATCACACATGCATACCCCCCCCCCCCCCCAACCCCACACGCACACACACGCACGCACACGCACGCACGCACACACGCACACACATGGATCTTCCCGCAGGGAATTCTTCAAAAGCTGGCCTAATCTATAGGTAAGACCTACTGCCACTAGTGGGTTTTTTTCACTGGTGACCCCACCTACCACTGCTTCACCTCATAAGAACATAAGAAAGAAGGAACACTGCAGCAGGTCTACTGGCCCATGCGAGGCAGGTCCAAGTCTCCTACCGGCATAAACCAATGCCCCAACCTAGTCAGGTCAGGTCACATTCACTTAAGGAAGGAGCACGGCAACTGACCTAGTAGCACAAGCTTATCAGGTCCAACTCACACCCACCCACACCCACTCATGTATTTATCTAACCTATTTTTAAAACTACACAACGTTTTAGCCTGAATAACTGTACTCGGGAGTTTGTTCCACTCATCCACAACTCTATTACCAAACCAGTGTTTTCGTATATCCTTCCTGAATCTGAATTTTTCCAACTTGAAACCATTGCTGCGAGTCCTGTCTTGGCGCAAATTTCAGCACTTATTTTACATCCCCTTTATTTATTCCTGACTTTCCCATTTATGCACTTCATCATATCCCCCCCTAACCATACAACCCGGCCGGGATTGAACCCGCGGTCATAGAGTCTCAAAACTCCAGCCCGTCGCGTTAGCCACTAGACCAGCTAGCCACAATAAGATTCATCCAACTAGGTATATTTCTACACCATAGGAAGGTTAGCACAGGCACCTCTGTGACCACAAATGCAAGTTTTTACAGACGAATCTCCAGCTAGCGTGGCCGTGACGAACTCTAGCTCAAGTCCCTTCACTGCCGTCAACATGACTCAAGAAATCGTAATGACAACGATTGCAAACAAACCATACCCCCGGCCGGGATTGAACCCGCGGTCATAGAGTCTCTTGAGTCATGTTGACGGCAGTGAAGGGACTTGAGCTAGAGTTCGTCACGGCCACGCTAGCTGGAGATTCGTCTGTAAAAGCTTGCATTTGTGGTCACAGAGGTGCCTGTGCTAACCTTCCTATGGTGTAGAAATATACCTAGTTGGATGAATCTTATTGTGGCTAACGCGACGGGCTGGAGTTTTGAGACTCTCTGACCGCGGGTTCAATCCCGGCCGGGGGTATGGTTTGTTTGCAATCGTGTCATTACGATTTCTTGAGTCATATCCCCCCTAATTCTACGCCTTTCTAGAGAGTGCAGATTCAGGCCCCTCAGTCTATCCTCATCTGCCCCATCTCCGTAAATATGTCGCAAAAAACATAAAAATGGTTATAATAATCATAATTTTTAAAGGGGTGGACTGGTAAGCCAGCGGAAGGCCTCGGTCAGATGACCAAAAGCTCCAGCTGAAGGTCATCACATGACTAATGACTATGATCCGCGTCAGGAAACACTTGTCCTATTTCCTGACCAATCTTGCCTAATCTAATATACTGCATTTTTACCAAGACTGGCGGACTGAAAACATTGATGGACTGAACACATCGACTCCAGGCTGAGGGACTGATTACCTCAATCTCCTCCTCTTCTTGCACCTCTCTGCTTTGTATTGGACTGATGAAGCCACTGTGTGGCGAAACGTTTCCTAAATAAAGATTCCCATATGGTGCATAAGTGTCTCAATCTTCAACTTGTCGGTTTTCAAAACCATTCATCACACACACACAGTAAAATAGGTACCTGGGTGTTAGTCGACTGGTGTGGGTAGCATTCTGGGACAAAATTGGCCTAATATGCCCGAAATGCTCTGCATAACAAGGGGTTTTCTATATAGTAGTATGTTAATGATGTCAACTATGGTCTCTATATCTTGTATGTACTTGTAGTATATAAAGATATTATTATTATTATTATTATTATTATTATTATTATTATTATTATTATTATTATTATTATAATATTATTATTATTATTATTATTATTAATTATTAAGAATGGATATAAATGCTCTGGAAAACGTACAGAGAAGGATGACAAAGATGATCCCATGTATTAGAAATCTTCCCTATGAGGATAGACTGAGGGCCCTGAATCTGCCCTCTCTCGAAAGGCGTAGAATTAGGGGGATATGATCGAGGTGTATAAGTGGAAAACAGAATAAATAAAAAGGATGTAAATAGTGTGCTGGAAATTTCCAGCCAAGACAGGACTCGCAGCAATGGTTTCAAGTCGGAAAAATTCAGATTCAGGAAGGATATAGGAAAGCACTGGTTTGGTAATAGAGTTGTGGATGAGTGCAACAAACTCCCGAGTACAGTTATAGAGGCTAAAACATTGTGTAGTTTTAAAAATAGGTTAGATAAATACATGAGTGGGTGTGGGTGGGTGTGAGTTGGACCTGACTAGCTTGTGCTACTAGGTCTGATGCCATGCTCTTTCCTTAAGTGGAAGTGACCAGACTTGGTGGGTCATTGGGCTATTCCGGGGGGGACATGGACATGCTCCGCATGGGCCAGTAGGCCTGCTGTAGTGTTCCTTCGTTCTTATGTTCTTATGAGAAAATCGAGCGAGCGCATCGGAAATTTACTATAGTTAGTCATAATAAGTTTTCGTTTTCTTCCTTTTTAATAAACATTAAGTTTTCTATGAAGGTTGATGGCTAACTTAGTTGTTTTGAATCATTTATATTTGATAAGTAATGTTAAGAAGGAAAAGATTTTGTTCGGGTTATTAACTCGGAGGGTCAGTAACCCAGGATAACCCAGTAAAGTCAGGATGTAATCAGACTGTCTGTCCAATATTATTAACCCCAGGATAACCTAAGAAAAGCAAATCTTTTTTTTTCTTGGGGGTCCTCAGCTCCTCTTCCTCGAATACTACTACTACTACTACTAATAATAATAATAGTAATAATACTAATACTACTAATAATATCTCTATTTTTACAAGTACAGGTACAAGGTATACAGACCATAGCTGACATCAATGACATACTTCTATATAGAAAGCCCCTTTGTGGAAAATTTTTGATTTTCCGAAACTATAGTGCCTAATAGGTGTTTAATGTGTCTATATGGGTCAAAAATGTATTTGAAAATAGAGTAGAACCAAGAGTTCCCTTTGCGCATGCGCGGATGTGCGGGGGAGGGGGAGGCGGATTGTTTTGAATGGGGTGAGGAGGCTGAGGAAACCGGGAATGAGGAAACTGGGCTTTTCACGGGGGCCTAAGGATCAATATAGGCCTAAAATTCATAATAGGAATGGGTGACTGTCCCTAGTGAAGAGTGAGGGAACGTGTTTTACGGGACCACTGAAAAGGGGGTGGTAAAATTAGTGAATAATGTTCGACCGGGTGGCAGGTGCACGGCCAGGGTGGTGTGTCCGGGGACAAACCCAGTGTTAATCCTCGCCCCATCGGCCTCAGATCTTAATGGAGTGACCTCTAATTTGTATAATAATTATGAGACGTTAAATCGTCTTGTGAATGGTAATGTAATCAGTGATAATAACATTGATTTAAGAGAATGCGGGATGTGAAATAAGTCGCCTTTCTCCGAGTGAACACGTTAGAACCTTGTTGTTCCCGAGGACGAGGAAAGTGAAGCTCATTGAGTCAAGACTTCTAAACCGGGACAAACCGACGGATACCTCGTCCTGCCGCCGGAATGAGAACCGTGTCGGTGTAGCAGGACATCGAGATGAGATGGTGAATGGAGGAAATAAGGAGTATCAATCACCCACAGTTAAGTAACCCTTCTAGTTATAACAGACTCATGCTGGCCAGTTATGTTATGTTGTAATTGGATAGGTTATGAGTGATCCAGCTACATCAAGTGACCACCAGAGAACAGCTGGTACTGGACTCCACACTAAGTAAAAGTGCTATTCTGGCCTTGTCATCAACACGTGAGTGGAAAAAGGCACTAAAACATCTGCCCATAATCAGGAAGATGTCAGAGATCTGTAGAAGTACATACAGTGCCATCATTGCAAGTGCCTTCAGGAACGGGGAATACGACACTGGGTTTCACTACCTAGATGTTATGTGGCAAGAAAACAAGTTACCCACGGATCAGGTGTTCTTGGAATGGGTCAAACAGTGCACTGCTCTTAAAACAACTGAAGAGAAGAAGGCAATGATGGAAACTCTGTTTCACAAACTTGCTACATATGAAATTTTTCCTACACTGCCTGTTATTCAGGAGATTGACTTAATGTATAAAGAACACTTAGCTTGGTTTAGCAGCTATGTGACGATACCCTCAAGTGGTAAATGTCCAGCATGTGGAGGTCAGCTGAAGAGTCCTGAACTTGATGAAGAGGAATTTAAACAATTACAGAAAGTTTATGCCCCGAGTCCTACATGGATCAGACATTTTTCTTTCAACTAGCCCCAAAGAATGGAAGATCTTTCAAGAGTTTGTAGACAAACACAAACCTTTCACAACTGTAGTCGATGGTCTTAATGCATCATATTCATCTGGTTTGATTAATAGCACACCTGGCAAACGTGTTAATTTTCTGAGAGATTTGATTGTGAAACTTGAGAGAAATCTTGAGGGTCGTATATTAGTTATTGGACGAAATCACATGAATGCCTGGATGCCTAGAGATCCACCTACCTGGGGAACATTACGGGGATCAACACCCCCATGGCCCCGTCCACGACCAGGTTTATTCAAGAACGAAAAAAATGTGATTTTATATACCCTCAATAATTTGACCAAAGATGACGGATTCTTCATATATGCTGCCCTCCAATCTGGATATGGAACTAAAGTTGTAACTAATGACTTGCTACGAGACCATCTGTTTCGTCTGGGACAGACGATACTGAGAGACACTTGTTATTGTTAAAGTCTCATAATTCCAGTATGCCCAATAAATTAATCCAGGGAGCATAGGCTTATGCCCCTGAGAGAATGGAACACTAATTAGTCCATTTTGAGGGTTCAATAAATATGGATGGCCATGGAGTTGGTGCCTATATGCAGTAATGTGCTGGGGCTGACTTGGGATACTGAGAGAGACTTGTTATTGTTAAAGTCTCATAATTCCAGTATGCCCAATAAATTAATCCAGGGAGCATAGGCTTATGCCCCTGAGAGAATGGAACACTAATTAGTCCATTTTGAGGGTTCAATAAATATGGATGGCCATGGAGTTGGTGCCTATATGCAGTAATGTGCTGGGGCTGACTTGGGATTCTGAGAGACTTGTTATTGTAAAGTCTCATAATTCCAGTATGCCCAACAAATTAGCCCCGAGAGCATAGACTTAGTGTCATACCTTACAATAAGAGGGAAATTGTTAATACCAGAAGCATGGAGGCTTGAGTGTGCTTTGGATGGAGCCCTACCTGAGGAGTTAACAGGTGGAAAGAATTAATGGGTGATTATGTAAATATCAATGTTGGAGTTCCCAAGCCAGGTGGCCAGTGAAGATGGGAAAATTGTACTCCACATTATGTAAGTCGTCTAGCAACGACCTCCGCCCGGCCGCAGTGTGGAAAATTTTTGATTTTCCGAAACTATAGTGCCTAATAGGTGTTTAATGTGTCTATATGGGTCAAAAATGTATTTGAAAATAGAGTAGAACCAAGAGTTCCCTTTGCGCATGCGCGGATGTGCGGGGGAGGGGGAGGCGGATTGTTTTGAATGGGGTGAGGAGGCTGAGGAAACCGGGAATGAGGAAACTGGCGTTCACGGGGGCCTAAGGATCAATATAGGCCTCAATTCATAATAGGAAGTGTCGTGACTGTCCCTAGTGAAGAGTGAGGGAACGTGATTTACGGGACCACTGTAAAGGGGTGGTAAAATTAGTGAATAATGTTCGACCGGGTGGCAGGTGCACGGCCAGGGTGTGTGTCCAGGGGACATACCCGTGTGTTAATCCTCGCTCATCGGCCTCAGATCTTAATGGAGTGACCTCTAATTTGTATAATAATTATGAGACGTTAAATCGTCTTGTGAATGGTAATGTAATCAGTGATAATAACATTGAGTTAAGAGAATGCGGGATGTGAAATAAGTCGCCTTGCTCCGAGTGAACACGTTAGACCTTGTTGTTCCCGAGACGAGGAAAGTGAAGCTCATTGAGTCAAGACTTCTAAACCGGGACAAACCGACGGATACCTCGTCCTGCCGCCGGAATGAGAACCGTGTCGGTGTAGCAGGACATCGAGATGAGATGGTGAATGGAGGAAATAAGGAGTATCAATCACCCACTTTTTAAGTAACCCTTCTAGTTATAACAGACTCATGCTGGCCAGTTATGTTATGTTTGTAATTGGATAGGTTATGAGTGATCCAGCTACATCAAGTGACCACCAGAGAACAGCTGGTAAGTGGTGGGATTATGTACAAATGATTTCCTTGATGGATGTATCCATGTGTATCCTACCCCCCCCCCCCCTTCATTCAGCTAAACTAATATAATATATACAGTCCACAATTAATTAGTAGCACCGTACTTGTGGGTGCTATCCAATCCATACTGGTCTCGGATAGATATGGATAAGATTGTGAGGTCGAAGGGACCACCTGTAGTGACCAGAGGTGGTTAAGTTTTCTCACATGTCTACACGGGGTGACTACGGTAAACAATATGGTTGTCTCCCAATGAGATTACTTGTATGTATATAATGTTGAGGTACATACAGATAAGCACCCTAGAAAATTTTCCATACCCTTGTTATGCAGAGCATTTCGGGCATATTAGGTAAGTTTTGTGGAAATAAATGGTATCAAATACCGACACAGTGGAAATATAAACACATATGCAGTATAATGTGATCCTTTATTGACAACGTTTCACCCACACAGTGGGCTTTTTCAAGTCACACACAGATCTGTGTGTGACTTGAAAAAGCCCACTGTGTGGGCGAAACGTTGTCAATAAAGGATCACATTATACTGCATATGTGTTTATATCTCCAGGTAAGTTTTGTCCAGGATGCGACCCACACCAGTCCACTAACACCCAGGTACCTATTATTACTGATGGGTGAACAGGGACAGCAGGTGTCTTATAGAAACACAAAGGACCCCAGTGGAAATAAGTCATTTTGACTTTTTTGGGTTGTCCTAGGTTCTCTACACATATGCTGCTACGTATGTGACTGTATTTGTGTATACGTGAATAAACTTACTAGCTACGGGACACCTCCATCGAGCTACAGGACACCTCCATCGAGCTACAGGACACCTCCATCGAGCTACGGGACACCTCCATCGAGCTACAGGACACCTCCATCGAGCTACAGGACACCTCCATCGAGCTACAGGACACCTCCATCGACCTACGGGACACCTCCATCGAGCTACGGGACACCTCCATCGAGCTACAGGACACCTCCATCGAGCTACAGGACACCTCCATCGAGCTACAGGACACCGCCATCGAGCTACAGACACCTCCATCGACCTACGGGACGCCTCCATCGAGCTACAGGGCACCTCCATCGAGCTACAGGACACCTCTATCGAGCTACAGGACACCTCCATCGAGCTACAGGACACTTCCATCGAGCTACAGGACACCTCCATCGAGCTACGGGACGCCTCCATCGAGCTACAGGACACGCCCATCGAGCTACAGGACACCTCCATCGAGCTACGGGAGGCCTCCATCGAGCTACAGGACACCTCCATCGAGCTACAGGACACTTCCATCGAGCTACAGGACACTTCCATCGAGCTACAGGACACCTCCATCGAGCTACAGGAGGCCTCCATCGAGCTACAGGACACCTCCATCGAGCTACAGGACACTTCCATCGAGCTACAGGACACCTCCATCGAGCTACGGGACACCTCCATCGAGCTACGGGACACCTCCATCGAGCTACAGGACACCTCCATCGAGCTACAGGACACCTCCATCGAGCTACAGGACACCGCCATCGAGCTACAGGACACCTCCATCGACCTACGGGACGCCTCCATCGAGCTACAGGGCACCTCCATCGAGCTACAGGACACCTCTATCGAGCTACAGGACACCTCCATCGAGCTACAGGACACTTCCATCGAGCTACAGGACACCTCCATCGAGCTACGGGACGCCTCCATCGAGCTACAGGACACCCCCATCGAGTTACAGGACACCTCCATCGAGCTACGGGAGGCCTCCATCGAGCTACAGGACACCTCCATCGAGCTACAGGACACTTCCATCGAGCTACAGGACACTTCCATCGAGCTACAGGACACCTCCATCGAGCTACGGGAGGCCTCCATCGAGCTACAGGACACCTCCATCGAGCTACAGGACACTTCCATCGAGCTACAGGACACCTCCATCGAGCTACGGGGCCTCTATCGAGCTACAGGACACCGCCATCGAGCTACAGGACACTTCCATCGACCTACGGGACACCTCCATCGAGCTACAGGACACCTCCATCGAGCTACGGGACGCCTCCATCGAGCTACGGGACACCTACATCGAGCTACAGGACACCTCCATCGAGCTACGGGACGCCTCTATCGAGCTACAGGACACCTCCATCGAGCTACGGGACACCTCCAACGAGTTACAGGACACCTCCATCGAGCTACAGGACACCTCCATCGAGCTACAGGACACCTCCATCGAGCTACAGGACACCTCCATCGAGCTACGGGACACCTCCATCGAGCTACGGGACACCTCCATCGAGCTAGAGGACACCTCCATCGAGCTACAGGACACCTCCATCGAGCTACAGGACACCGCCATCGAGCTACAGGACACGTCCATCGACCTACGGGACGCCTCGATCGAGCTACAGGACACCTCCATCGAGCTACAGGACACCTCTATCGAGCTACAGGACACCTTCATCGAGCTACAGGACACTTCCATCGAGCTACAGGACACCTCCATCGAGCTACGGGAGGCCTCCATCGAGCTACAGGACGCCATCGAGCTACAGGACACCTCCATCGAGCTACGGGACACCTCCATCGAGCTACAGGACACCTCCATCGAGCTACAGGACACCTCCATCGAGCTACAGGACACCTCCATCGAGCTACAGGATACCTCCATCGAGCTACAGGGCACCTCCATCGAGCTACGGGACGCCTCCATCGAGTTACAGGGCACCTCCATCGAGCTACAGGACACTTCCATCGAGCTACAGGACACCTCCATCGAGCCACGGGACGCCTCCATCGAGCTACAGGACACCTCCATCTAGCTACAGGACACCTCCATCGAGCTACGGGACACCTCCATCGAGCTACAGGACACCTCCATCGAGCTACAGGACACCATCGAGCTACAGGACACCTCCATCGAGCTACGGGACACCTCCATCGAGCTACGGGACACCTCCCTCGAGGTACGGGACACCTCCCTCGAGCTACAGGACGCCTCCATCGAGCTACAGGACACCTCCATCGAACTACGGGACACCTCCATCGAGCTACGGGACACCTCCATCGAGCTACGGACACCTCCATCGAGCTACGGACACCTCCATCGAGGTACGGGACACCTCCCTCGAGCTACGGGACGCCTCCATCGAGCTACAGGACACCTCCATCGAGCTACGGGACACCTCCCTCGAGCTACGGGACACCTCCATCGAGCAACGGGACACCTCCCTCGAGGTACGGGACACCTCCATCGAGGTACGGGACACCTCCATCGAGCTACGGGACACCTCCATCGAGCTACGGGACACCTCCATCGAGCTACAGGACACCTCCATCGAGCTACAGGACACCTCCATCGAGCTACAGGACACCTCCATCGAGCTACAGGACACCTCCATCTAGCTACAGGATACCTCCATCGAGCTACATGACACCACCATCGAGCTACAGGACACCACATCGAGCTACAGGACACCACAATCGAGCTACAGGACACCACCATTGAGC